TATCAGAGATTCTCATCAAAGCAGTGACATGATCTCACCCTAGCTACTGTGTGGAGAGAGTGAAGACGAGGCAAAGGTAAAAAGCAGGGAGACACCAGGTAGGCTAGAAGAGAGCTGGGCTAGAGATACAGCACTGGAGAAGCAGGAAGCAGCTGGATGCAGGATCTGTCTCAACAGTGAAGTGCGTAGAACGCTGAACGTAGGGTGTGCTGAATGTCCAGTGGAAAAGAGAAGAGATGGGGACAGCTGCAGTGTGATCCATGCGTCCGGGCGAGCGTTTGGGTCATGTACTGAGAGAAAACAGCAGGGTGAGCATGTGTGGTGGTGAAAATAAAGAGGACTTTGGTGATTCCTGTTTTATGGAGGAGAAAAACAAGACTGAAAGAGGTTAAGCCAGTCATGCAAAGTCTCACAGCTAGAAAGAGGTGGACATTCAATTCAAACCCCGGTGTTTCTGACCCTTAACAAAACTTCCATCTGCTTTCTCTTCACAACTTCCCCATGTGCCAATGAGTTCCCCATCTCAATTTCTCTCCTGAAATTCTAAAGTCCATGAGAGCTAGAGATTAAAATTAAGTAGTTGTCTCCATGGAAATGTGATTCAACTCTTCCAAGAACTGAGACGTCTCTACCATTTATGGTGACTATTTTTTATATTTCCTCTTTACTTTTTATGTTGGCTTTTTATGTTGACTCAGGTCCTTGATCTCAGATTTTCCAATCGTGTAAACAAGGCTGAGGCCAACAATCTCATTTTGCAGAGATAAATCAGGAGAGTGTCATGGACTGAACTGTGTACCCCCAAAATTCATACGTAGTAGCCCTAACCCCCAAGGTGACTGTTTGTGTAAGTGAGGTCATAAAGGGAGGGCCTTAATCCACTAGGGCTGTTGTCCTTATAAGAAGAGACAGAGACACCAGATTCTCTCTCTCTCTCTCTCCCCCTGCCCCCATCAGAGAAAATGCCATGTGAGGACACAGCAAGAGTGTAGCCCTCTACACGCCAGGAAGAGAGTCCTCTTAGAAACTGAATTGCCAGCACCTTGATCATAGACTTCCAGCCTCCAGAACAGCAAGAAAATACATGTCTGCTGTTTAAGCCACCAGTCTGTAGTATTTTGTGATAGCAGCCCTAGCAGGCTAATAAATACTCAGGGTTTCAGGAAAATTTGTGTCTTGTCTACGATTATTCAACTCTTAAAAGCAACAAATATTCATGATGTTTGACCGCCTGCTGTTTGTCTTGTGCTGTGCATCTATGAAACATAGGAATTAAACAACCCTTGTCACAGATAGAAGTTAAGCTATTTAGCTAATGTCTCCAAGTAATAAGTGGAAGAATCAGGATTTGAACATTAGTCTATCTGATGCCAACGCTTACACATTTTCCACTGGTTCCAGAGATGGCATTGCAAGTAGACATTCTGAATCCAAACCCAGTGCCATCTCTTCACTTCTACCTGTAATAAAAACCGAGCCCCTGCACAATCCCCTCTCTGTTAGAATCACTGATAATTTCTGTTTCCCTGTGATTAGTGCTATTCGTGTGGGAGCTCTAGAATCCAAGGTCAGCTCTGGCAATTGGAAGGTTTATGAACTCGGGTAAGACTTTTTTCTTTCACCCCCATTCCTACCCACCCAGTACCGTTGGCTAGAAACCAACTTTGGTTCTGAAAAATATTTTATCTTGGTTGCTGAAGTGCCTTGGGACATAACGACTATTCAGTTGAGCGAGAAAGGAACAAGGGGNTGGTTGCTGAAGTGCCTTGGGACATAACGACTATTCAGTTGAGCGAGAAAGGAACAAGGGGTTCTCTCTGATGTCCACTTCAGGCCTTCTAGAGGGTAGAGTGTTCTGGCTCCTGCTCAGAGTGTCCTGGACATGCCCGCAGTGTGCGGTGTGGGTTGAATCTCTAAAAGGTTCCTCACTGACTTTGCACATGTGAGACTATCTCAAAAAGTTCATGGGAAGATTCCTATTATCTTTCAATTCTATTTTCCCATGAACATTTCAAAGTACGCTCCTATTTATCATGCCCTCCATAACCCCATGTGTGTTCAGGGATGTAACTGCTACTATCTGTGGGAGAAGTTACAACTAGAATTAAGAGCGTTGAAAGAGTATTTACAAAAAAGAGAAAAAGAAGGAAGGAAATAAATCAAAGTAAAAGATGCACTATTTCCCCTATTAAATAAAAAGAGCTCGAACACTTGCTGCAAATATTAGCCTATTAAATAAGAGACGTGGAACACAGGTCTCGCTTTCCCACTGATGTTGTTTGCATGTATCCTGGATAGTGATAGTTATGGATTCAAGACTATGTTATGATGAAAAACAATTAACTGGAATGAACTCAAAAAAGCAAAAAAAGAGTATCCACTGTGCTCTCAAACTGGATGCATCTAGCCCAGATATTTCAGAGATCTGGCTTGGAGGCTAAGAAAACAAACGAACTCTCCAAAGTCTCTCCACTATCAGATGTCAGAAACACAGTGAGTTGTATCTCTGGGATTGGGATTCTTTTATATTTTACACATGTACTGATTTGGTGCATAATTGTCACTAAGTCAATGTTTGTCAAATGAATGAACTCTTATTCCTGAGAGTAAGAGTGGAACCTGGGCTCTGCAGAAACCTGGCTTCCTATGAGGACCCTCAACCTGTAAGACCTCGCTAACAATGAGCAGAGAAGGGAGTCACAGTGCCTCGGTGGAATCTGCGTTCTTCCACTTCCACATGAGCCACATAACCTTGACAGACGATTTCGCCTCTTCGAGCCTCATTTGCCCCAGAGGGATATGATTCCCACGTTGTGAAGTCGTTCTGAGACTTGTAGGAGCTCGTGTGTGTGCAGCACTGACGGCTACCTGTGTCAATCACTCGCGATTGACAGGCATCCCTGTTACGCTGGAGGCTTTAGAACCAGTTCAGCAAGCAAAACAGCAAAAGCCTACGGGTCAGGAGAAGCTCAGCTCTTCCAGGCTGCACACCTTTATCAAAGTTTCTCCACTTCTCTCATATTCCGTTTTCTCATCTCTGTTTGGAAAAAGCAAATGTGTTTCTAACCAGTATCTGGCCCCCATAGGGTTGGATATGGGGCATAACTGAAATAGTGACTGAAAAGATCTCAGTACAAACAGGTGCTGAATGATGAATTTTAGCCCTTTTCCTTCTGGATGCTGTCATGATGGGTGGTCTCCAAGACCATCCGTCCCTCATCTCGGATGGCCCTGAGATCCACCAAGCCAGCTGCACTGGGGACACCCGCCTCTGTATGGGCATTCATTCTTCTAACCCTCTCTCTCTCTCTCTCTCTCTCTCTCTCTCTCTCTCTCTCTCTCTCTCGCTCGCTCGT